GGGGTTATTATTCCCAACAAAAATGGAAAGTCATAAAATTCATGTTCCAAACCACCAACCAGATATATCCCATGTTCACCAAAATTTCACCATTTCGAAGGGTTTCCAAACCACCAACCCAGGGTGATGTCATTGGCTTCACCTGCAGCTGAGATGGCGAAACGCACAGCTTCGCTCAAGCATGAAGCCACCTGCCACGACCGGTGCCACCAGGAATCCAGAGCTGGCTATGGAGATCCTCTGGTGCTGTATAATTGAATTAATTAGCTTATAAATTAGATTCAATTAGCTCATAAATCCGTGTTCAGCTAAGAAAGGTATAGAGATCCCCAAGTTGGACCCCGAACTTAGGAGCAGTGGGAACAACACTGACAACCCCAGAACTCCACTTAGAATCTTCTCCCAAGTATTAGATACGCATAAATACACCCTTAGAAACCATGGCTTAATATTGGATCTGTTCATTTTGGGTGCCCATATGGGCAGTATTGAAGCTTAGGGGGATGGGATTACACACAGAAGTTTTCACGGTGCAACACAGAAAAGCGGAGACCAACTACGATCGGCATTCTTCGCCACCCTCCGGAGCATAGTCAACCAACTTTACAGTGTACATTCACCCATTCCCACCTGTTTTTCCAAGTCCCCCCTTAATCCCCAGCCTGCCAGCCTTTGTGACCCCTGCCGTGGAAATCTCCTCGCCCCGGCTGAAGAACCCGGTTGTTTCAGCAGAATGATGTGGTCCACTGCTGAATCATCATTTTCCCAAGGTTTTTTCATAGCCATGTGGGGAAAATCATCCCATTATCAGACACGCGATTCATGTCAACCCTGGATCCACAAACCCCTGTAGATTCATGCCGGGGGGGACTGTTTATGAATTGCAATTATCACTGTTTTGGGGGAAGACTTCTGAATCAGGAGTTATTTTCACATGAGGTGTTTTGACGTGAGCAGTTTTCCCAATTTCTAGGTGCTTCGCTTTGCCCCATGAACAAGAATCATGGCGTCAACATTGATAAAAAGTTGCTGCTGGTTTCTGGCCTCCACAACCCTACAGTACAGGGGCATAGGTCAAAGATGAATAGATAATTAGCTGGATGGATTAAAAATTACAGAAAATACAGAATATTGTCGGTCACTTGGTACCTCAAGATTGACGCATGCCCACGTCAATAATTGATATACTCAAGGCAATTGACGATTTGGGTACCCGCATTGTGGGTACCCCAATTTTGATGCATCGATAACTGGTCCTCGTTTCAATCCCTCTCAAAAAATCGTCACTTGGGATCATCATCCTATTTCTACGGTTGGAAAAAAAAAAAAACGGTGTTTCACCACCAACCAGATCATCATTGCTATACCCATGATATTCCCATTGTACTACCATGATCTACCATCTTGGTTGTTAAAACTCCCATTTTTTCATGGTTAAATCATACGCAGAACTCCCGGAGGTCCCATCGCCCCTCCTGCCCACGATGGCGCCATGCCAAACACCCCGCAGGCCACGGCGAAAGGCCATGGGGCCGGCTTAGGGGACCATCGGTGAAAAAAAAGTGGAGTTTAACCAGCAAAAATGGTAGTAGAATATGGAATTTAACGAGCATATAATGGGTATATAAGCAATAATGATCTGAATGGTGTACCAGTGTTTCCAATCAAAACCCAGATTGTAGGCGGCAGAAAAGGGCGGGCCTGGGTCTTGAAAGTGAACCGAAGTAAACCGGTTAAATCATGAAGCTCATCATACACCCTGCAAAGTGGGAGAACAAGTCCACATAATCACTAGCCACTTGGTGGTATCTTTTCAAACACCCAAGCTGAACAGTTTAGCTGCTATGCTTGCAAGTGGTTCCAAAGTTGGAGATTACTTACAGCTCTGTTGGGAAGAAAATTCCGGCTTGGAAACTGGCTTCTAGCCATGGTTCCTAGGTCTGTTACGGTCCGTTTAGTGTGATTGTCCTACTTGCGCATTGGTCATAGAATGTCATAGTTATACTAATATATACAATGATTCATAGTTTACTATAATAAATAAATTATAATAGTATATCATAGATATGCCAGTTCCGATAGACAAATTGAATTACGCCCTCAGTTCTACATGTCTCCAGATGGAGGATCTCTGTGGCAGACTGTCCATGTTTGGAGCCAGAAACAGCTACAACATCTTCCGATGATCAGACGAAGTGTGCAACGAACTGGCCATCCAGGTAGAGGGATTTCTTATTAAATCTTCCATTGAATCAGTCGAAGCCAAGCATGTGCTGACCACGTACCAGTTCAGGCCATCATGTTTGGTGAAAGGGCAGGCGATCATCAATAAATCATCAAGTTTCATTGCCGACCTCTACTCCCTGCGGCCGCACCATGGTATATACAATACATTATAATACTGGAATACAATGCTGACAAACCCATGCCTCAGTGGGATGCACATCCAAACAACAAAAAAAAACAAGTATAAGTTGGAGCAAACTGCAGCTGAAATCGCTGGATTGGAAGTAACCAATGGGTTGCCCAAAAAATTACCGATGTCCAAAATATGTTGAGGTGGATTAACCAGTGATTTGAATCTGAAAATTGATCAATTGAAAATATTGAAATAAATTCCTCTCAATCTTGCCTTTAACCGATTCTGGGACATTCACCGGATGTTTTGGAAGATTTGAGCGATCAAATATGGGAGATGTTCGAGGGTGAAAACGGGTGTCCTATGGATACTCGGAGTGAGTCGCACATGTTTGTACGTTTTTGGATAATACAGTAGTAGTGATCATAGGAAGTCTTCCTCATTGAAACGTCAGGCAGAACCACCCGCGGAAGCCAACTCCATTCCCAGTTGAACCTCTGCTGGCCTATTTCTGCAATAAGAGCAACTGCTTTGAGGCCACTGGATTTACAAATGCGTTCTCCCCCACCAAGTCTTCGCGGCCTTTTTGGCGACATCTTCCACTACCGGGGCCTCACCCCAGCCCCAGGAGCCCCGGCCTGGTGGCGCCAGGGATGGGAACCGGTAACGGAATTCCAGCACTGTACAGGCGTCAGCCATGAGGATCAGCCCAGGAGTCGTAAGTGGCTAGTACCTACGGCAAAGAGTAGACTCTTGGATGCCCTGTGAAACATGTATGAAATGCTGTTCATTGAAAATAGGTGAAGAATCAACCCATGCACCAAACCAAGGTTTCCCGGAATCTACGCAATGGTGGTCAATCATCTCAGACACCTTTTTCGCTGGTGAACATTTCTCACTGGACGTAAAGGCAGCCACAACTTGGAGCCCAAACTCACCATGGGCACTAACCAAGTACGACGTTGGGATGATCCTCCCGGGGGTCCAGGAAAATTGGACGGGGAACCAGCGAACTTCGGGAAGGCAGCTGCCGGAAGAGTGCGATGGCCAATGGCAGCCCCAGCAGGTGATGCCACAATCCTTTCAATGGGTGTGGCTCAAAAAGTGCAGAACAAATCGACCCTGAAATTTGGTCGCTTTTTCTGCTCAACCATCAAATTTCTTGGGGCACTTCTGAGCCAATCTCAACTACTGGAACTGTGAGCCTCTAGTTGAAGTTGGGTTGCCGGGGCGCTGCCTTCCCACACAAAGGGTCGTGCTGCAATTAGAGTCCAACGCATCTCTGGATTACCACAAGCTTTCTGGGACAAGTCACTCCCTGCGGCGAAGGCCGCACGGCCCTCTATCCCATCTTTCTGGATCTTTCAGGCATTCTCATCTGGATGCATATGGATATGGGTCCCAACACCCCAAACACGCCTCTGTTTATATTGAAAGAGCTGCTGTCTAAATGGGCGTTCATCCCCCAATCATCCCCAATCCATACTATCAATGGATTGGTTTAAAGATTTTTTTACAAGAAACGCCGTATTTCATGAGAAAATCCATGGTTTCCTGTAATGTTTCCCTTAAACCAATCCATTTAGATTAGGTTTTGCAGCAATTCATATCCATCATTCGCCACAGGGCTGACCGTGCAGGACTTCTAACTGAAGGTCAGCCTGCCGCTGCTGCAACTGGAACGGCCATCACAGGTTGGTCTGCTCCGAGGCGAAACAGCACCAGTCACCAGAAACCGGGCAAGTGGTGAATAGCCGAGCCGCGCCAGGAGAACGGCATATAATCAGGATTATGTGTGTACATGTGTATATATATATATATATGTGTGTGTGTGTACGCATGTATGTGTATGTATGTGTATGTATGTGCATGTATGTGTATGTATGTGTATGTATCTGTATGTATCTGTATGTATCTGTATGTATCTGTATGTATCTGTATGTATCTGTATGTATCTGTATGTATCTGTATGTATCTGTATGTATCTGTATGTATCTGTATG